CTGCACCCTGTCCAGGATCCTTCTCTGGTTTCCCAATATGGCACTGCCCTGGACAGCCTCGTTTTCTCTTGGGAACCTCTGCAGGCTTGAGGAAGCCCAGGGGAAAGCCCAGCAGGAGGTCTGGCTGCTCAAGCAGGGGCCTCGTCCTCACCAGCCAGGACACACCAGAAGGCAGGCGTCACCTTAGGCCACTTGTGACATTTTGTCCTCGGTGGGTCCATAGATCAAAACCCAAATTCTTCACCGTGTCCCCTCAATCCCTCTGACCCTGACCTTGTCTCGTCACCTCTCCTCTCTTCCCCTCACTCCAGCCACGTCGGCCTCTGACCTCAAACACACTGAGCTTTTTCCCACGTCGGAGACTTTGCGCTTGCTGGGCCCTCTACCCGGATTTTCGCCTGGCTCGTCTGCCTGGCGTCATCTCCTCCCGATGGCCCTGATAACACTGGCCCCAACCCGGCTGGCCCCCACTCTCTATGCCACCATCCTGTCGTGCTCCCTGCATGACATTCTCAGTAGTGCCATTATGGTCTTTCTTTTCTTACCTGCTTATCAACTGTTTCTCTCGCCAACTGTGAACTCTGAGGAAACAGGTCCCTGTCTGTCTGGCTCACTCCACATCTCCAGCCCCTCCTCGGTGTTCGGTAGATATTGGTTGAAGGAATAAATGACATCCCCACTGTACACACAAGGAAACTCAGAGAAGTGGAGTGACTTGCCAGACAGAAGTGTCCCAGAAGGTCATGCCTTTGACCTACGCCGCACTGCCTCGGCCCGGCAGAGTCAGACCCAAGACGAGTCAGGCATCCACGGTGAAATTTCTTTTCCCTCCTGGTGAGGGCAGGGGTGGGGGAGTGTCTCTGACTCTGGTGACATCACATGGGGGAAATTTAGTCATCGAGTCGGCTCACGGGCCAGCTCCATAGTGCAATCCCTCAGCCCGTGACTCATCCCCACTGACATTTTTAAAGAATGTGTAGACACGGTATCAATGGAACTTTTCACTCACAAGGAAGAGTAATAGGTTACTCATTCCCTCAGCCACCAAATGGGCAAGTGAGCTGCCTCTGAGAGCTCTGGACAAAAGCAGAAGCCTTGTGTATACCCAAAACTCAGACACATCACACAGATTTTTTTTTTTAAAGGGTCATCAACAATTCCAAAACCTTATTCAGATCATAAGACGGTTGCCAGAGCGATTCAATCAATCATTGGACAAATATTTATTGAGCACCTACTGTGTTCTAGACACCAGGATACAGGAGGGAAGAAAACAGTCACAAGTCTCCACCCTCAAAGAGCTGACGTTCTAGTGATGAAGACAGACAGTAAACAAATAAACAAGGAGACCGGTATGCCAGAGGATGACAAGCCAGGAAGAAAAGCAAAGCATGGAAGCGCAAGAGGATATGCGCTTTTCCGTTAGACTTTTTAATATTAAATTATTTAAATTAAGTAATTAGGGAAGGCCTCCCTGAGAAGGTGACAGACTGGACAAAGCAGAAGGAGTAGCCTATGCAAAGGCCCTGAGGCACGTGTCAGGTGCGTGGAGGCTCAGCAGCGAGGCAGTGTAGCTGGGGCAGAGCGAGAAGGAAAGAGGAACGAGCAGATGGCCGTGCTCTGGGCAATTTGGTTTTTACTCTGAATGAGATGGGAGCCCAGGGAGGTTTTGAGCACAGGTGTGACAGGACACCACCTAGGTGTTAACAGATTCCCTCTGGCTGCTTTGGGAGGACGGGTATGTGGGCTAGGTAGGAGCAGGGAGAGTGGAATGTAATGGTTCAGGCTAGAAGCGTTGGTGCTATGCCCAATGGTGAAAAATAGGCAGATGCTGGGAGTATTTTGAAGATAGACCAACAGGGTTTGTTGACAGTTAGATGTGGAAATAAGAGGAAGAGGCAAGAATGATTCCAAGGTTTGTGGCCTCAGCACCAACAAGGATGGCAGTGCCCCTTTCAGACCCAAGGAGGGTTTGCGGGGAGATCAGTGTAGCGAAGCAAACTTCTCTGAGTTCATATCAATCAAGAATTCTCTTGAAACAATTTCTCTTGAAAACCCAAACTTCGGTCCACTGCCAGGGGAAACTGCTCAGTTCAGGCAATTTGCAAGCGACAGAGGAAACCATTCGGGGGGTGCGCAAAACTCCTCCTGGAGCAACATGAGGGCTAGAACAGAAAAGAGAAGGCTGCGAGCTGAGCACCCCGAGCCCTCTCTCCCCACCCAGACTCCAAGACCCACGCTCAAGGCCACCTTGTGTCATCAGCTCTCACTTCTGTGATTCGACCACAAAGGAGGCGCCTTCTAATGAACACCCAGCTCCCTGAGGAGGGACTTCCATGAATAAAGAGGTGGGAACAGAAAGAACAAAGCTCCTTAAACAGCCCCACGTGCCTCAAAACCTGACAGTCTTCTCTCTGTCCAAATGGCAGCTGCCCTGATGGCGTGTCTCTCACTTTGCCCAGCACTTGTGCCTCGGAGGTGACTAACGATCCCGTTAACGCCTGAAGACAAACATATTAAATTGCTCGGATCGCCCTCTGCTCCTGGCGACAGCAGGCACCGTTTCTGGATGGTTTTAAATGAAACGAGAGGGCCTGATGCCAGAGGAAGTGAGAACTGCAGCCACTCTCAACTGTCAGCTTCTCCTGACGGTGATTGGAATGAATGACGGTGACAGATGTGGACCGGTGGACCCAGTGACACGGGACCGAGAAGCCTGGAGAAGACCTGGACATTTTGTCAGGGATCCCGGGATGGGACTCACCAGGAGGCCTGTGGGTGCAGTGAATCCCAGTAAAAAAGAAAGATGGTCCATCTGGGAGCGCTAGTCCTAATTCGAGGTCAGAAAGGGGCTGGGATTGTATTTCCATCGAGGGTATCTGTTACTTCTGCCTACCCAGCATCTGTCTCCACTTCTGGCGACAGAAACTGAACTTTTTAATTGGAGAACTGTATTAATCATATTTTTATTATGTGTGTTTGATGCTTTGACATCCGGGGGCCCTGCTGACGCTGGAGGAGCTGCCCCTCCCCCGAGTTAGTTAATTTTCAGAGACAGTAGACAGCTCGCCCTGGAATGCCGTTTTCACCCGAAAACCAACCGAGCCAGCGCCTATAGCCCCAGCCACCTCCATTTTCAGGCTCTCAGACTCCCCGCCCCGGTCACCTGCCTAAATCACCCCGGAGGGGTCCCGGGAGGCGGGGTCCACCCCCAAGTCCTGGAGCCACTGAAATCATTCACACTAGCCAATCTGAAACCTGATGACCCAGCCTCTCGGCTCCTTCTGGAAACCGGAAAGCGGCTCCCGTCCATGTTCCCACCACCACCATCCCCCAGCCTCCTGATCAACCCCAGTCCCTCCCCTGGTAGGGCCCCCATGCATGCCCCACCCCTCTTGGGATCTGAGAGTATCAACCCGTCTTCTCAATGGTGGTCAGTTCCTGATCTGTTGGCCTCGCCATTTCTAAATAATAATAAAACCTGCATTTTAAAACCAGAGCCACCGCAGGGGTGGACATGTGACCCAAGCCTGGCCAATCAGAGTGTCCCATCCACGCTTGCCACCGTTAACTGTCCAGTGACTCCGCCTCTGAATAAGAGAGGTTTATTATATTCTCTGGGACAAAGTAATGCCCAAAGTTTCCTTGTAACTGAAATTGCAAGTAAATTGAAATTCGAAGGAATTAAAGGCTGAGTGCAAAGCCACCAAGGCAATCGGTTTCCATTTTATCATGGGAGTGTATGTAACCTCATCATCGGACCACTGCTGAGCCACGTGGCGTAACAAAGCAAGTGGGCATCATCTGGGGTCACGGGGCTGCCAGAAATTAGCGAATAAAAATGCAAGAGGCCCAGTTCACTTTGCACATCCAAAAAACAACGTTTGTAATGTAAGTGTGTCCCATGTGATCTTTGGGACATACTTGAACTGAAAAACGTACCTGTTGTTTTCTGAAATATGAAGCTAACTGGGCATCCTGTGGTTTATCTGATAACGCTGGAAGAGGGACGCTTTAAAAAAAATACCAATGCCTCTGGCTCCTTCAATTCTGGCTTCATCTAGGCTGGAAGAACGGGGCTTTTCAAGGTCCCCAGGTGATTTTATTCTGCAGCGGTGGTGGAGAACACCACACTGGAGGAAGAGTCGTGGCTTCTCTCGACTCTCCCCTTGCTAGGGAGGGAGACTGCCTTTGTCCAGCTGGCCAGTAGAGAACCTTCCGTACTGCATTTTTATAGAACTGATGTGCTTTTTTTTTTTTTTTTTTTTTTTTTGAGCTTGGTGGGGGACGTAGTCTGGGGAGCTGACAGGACAGCTTTGTCCCTCAGGTGGGCCTGCAGGCTGGGGCGGTAAGTACGGTAAGTACACGTGGGAGTGGTAACAACATATTAGCAAGGTTGGCTGTACCTCTAAGCACAGTCCCCAAGTAACTTTCTTAGTTATATAGGTGGAATTTTCACTTCATCTCCCTAAATCTCACAACTTTCTCACTTGGTTTTGAATCTCCCCAGAGAAGGAAAGGATGTGAAGAGCTGACACCCTAATTTTCCCAGTCTGCCACCTCCCAGGCCTGGCTAATTCATAGTCCCCCTTCTTGTCTTGGCTCAAAAGGCCTTTCCTTCAAGGTGGATGCCATGGCTGTGTATTTTCACAAAACCTTCTATATTTTTTTTCTTTCTGCCGATATCAAAATTGTCATTGACTGAAGCAGGATTTCTCAACCTTGACACAACCGAAATTTGGGTCAGATAAATTCCTGTGGCGAGTCTGTCCTGTGCATTGTGGGTTGTTTAGCAGCTTCCCCAATCCCTACTCACCAGGTGCCCCTCCCCAGTTCTGACCCTCCCCAGTCGTGACCAAAACGTCTCCAGACATCAAATATCCCACACGCTATCATTGCGGTCAGGGCCACGGCGCATGCGCAGTCACGCAGGGCCCCCGCACGTGGTTTCATTCTTTGCTGTCTCTATCATGCAATTCTTAATGGGGGTCGAACAAAGGAATTATGCAAATTATGTAACTAGTTCTGGTGTGTACCTGTTTTGTTTAATGATTCTTTTCCTTATGACATGGATTTGGAGAGTAAAACATGTACCTACCTTACCACGGCACCCCCAACGATGGCACAGAGAAAGTGCTCAAAAAATATTTGAAGACGGCAAGGAGCAAGAGAGAAGCTGAATTAGCCGCCCAGCTAGCCGTGGCCGAGAACAGAAGGGCAGTACAACCCCAGCCGACCCGTGTAAGCTGCTCTATTCAATAGCCTTCCTCCCCGAGGCTGCTGGAACATTCTTTCCAACTCCTCATGCGTGTCAAGGGGCAAGTGTACCCTGTGTGGTCTGTGTGTCTTTCCCGTGGCCCTCCATATGCCATGTCAGCTGGACTGAATGGTAATCCCCAGATGTGAGAAGACAAGGCTGGGGAGAGAGTCTTTAGACCCAGTTTCTGAGCTCTACTCACTCAAGGCAGGCCTTCGCTTTGCATTAATTCTGGCCAATTTAGCTTGTGCTCCTGTCTGAAAATCATCTAGGTTGGAATTCTTATAGCTGGATGAGCTGAGGACAGCAGGCCTTAGCTAGTATGACGGGCACTAGAAAAAGGCTGTTTATGGTAAGTCTACTTAAAATGGGGACCCGAATTTCAGAGTCAATATTAGAGGGGGGAAAAAGTTTGAGGCTTTATCTTGACAAATAAAAGTAAAATTTATAAAAACAAGCATATTTATGTTTATAGTAGCTTTTTCTTTTAATAATAGCCCCAAACTGAAAATAACCCAGATGAATGATTTAAATAAACTGCAGTATAATCCACATCGTGGGTACCACCCAGAAATAAAAAAGAAAGACCGTTGACACACACAACTGTTCAGATGGACCTTGCATTAGTTTCCCAGAATGGCCATCACGAATTCAGTGACTTAAAAATGCAAAAATCCATTCTCATGGTTCTGGAGGCTAGAAATCAGATCCGAATTGTCAGCAAGTTTGATTCCTTCTGGAAGCTTCTGGCTTCCGGTGGCCACCAGCAATTCTTGCCATTCCTCGGCTCGTGGCCACGTGGCTCTAATCTCCACCTCCATCTTCATGCAGACATCCATTCTGTGTCTCTATTTCCAATCTCCTCTCTTTTGTCTTATAAGAACCCCAGTCATAGGCTTTCAGGCCCCCTGTAAATCCAGGGTAATCTCACCGCACAATCCCTACCTTAGTTCCATCTCAACGAAGGTGACACAGGTTTTGAGGGTTGGGACTTAAGATATTTCTTTTTGGAAAACACTGTTTGGCACACTGTAGACTTCAAGGGAATTACTCTGAGTGAAAAAGAGCCAATTGCTAATGGTTCCATCCTGTATAATTCCATTTATATAATACTCTTGAAATAAAGAAGTTATTAGTGGTTGCCAGGGGTTGGGGGTGGGGGAGAGCTGGGTGTGGCTACAAAAGAGTCACTTGAGGGAGCCGTGTGATAATAGAATAGTTCTGTATCCTGACTGTGGGTCTATGAATCAACACTTGATAGACTTGTGTAGAGCTATACACACACACAAATCAATGCATGTATAACTGGTATGTAGAAATGCATGTAGAAATTTGAATAGATTCTGTGGATTATATTAATGTCATTCCCTTATTTTTGATATTGTAGCATAGTTATGCAAGATGGAAACTTGGAAAGCTGAGAGCGGGTATATGTACTTCATGTACTTTTTTTTTTTTTTGCAACTGACTGTGCATGTATAATTACTCCAAAAATTTTTTTAAAAACTAATTTCATTTAATAAAAGTTAAGCTATTGCAAACTACGATCTCATTCTTAGAACAAAGACCAATCAAGACAATTGGGGGGGTGGGTAATTTGTCAATAAAAAACATCCCGTAGCCTGATAAATATTCATTTCACTTTTGTAGCTGAAAGAGGAGAGTCATTTCTGTACATTCGATTTCTGGAATATAATTTCTGGACATTTCCGGAAATTACATGAAGGTTTGTTGACCTTTCTAAAGGTCTCTCTTAATGGTTTTCACATCATTCTCCTAAAGCAGCACCCCCAGGGACATCCCCCAAGTGAATTTTCTCTTCTTTTTGTTTGCCAGGTCTTCGCGTGGTTCATTTGGGGGTTTCAAGTAGTTCTCCAGCCACACGTTTATCGGCGTTATGAAATCGCTCATTGTGAGGTCCGCAGTAGCTTTGATTCTCTGGATGACTGTCATTGATGAGTCTCTTGCTGTCAGATGTCCCCAGCATCCAGCCCAGCAAATATGCCAGCCTGGAGCAGGGATGGGCGTGAGAGGGGATTCATTTCTGCCTGGCCATTTCGTTACTGAAAAAGTTAGTATTAGGACGACATCTGCCTTCCTATGCCAACTTGTGGCTGGGGGACCCAGACTTCAGGGGAGGAGCCCCGGCAGAAGACTCTTCTGTGTGCTAAGGGTCCCAAAAATAAAACTCTAGAGGAGAAAAGATTTCAGTGCCTGGCATGCAGAAGAAACTGCAGTATTTACGGAGTGCACATAATGTATCGCAGTCCATTTGGATAAAAACCTCTATGGATAAAGACAAATAATATTCTCTATTTCTCTTTTAAAAAAATAAGTCAAAACAAACACAAGGAGAAATGAAATCTCAAGCACCCACACCAGTCTTTCTCCGTATGTTTCAGCTGCCCGAAGTGTTCATTTCAAAGCTTTCTGGGGACCTGTTGAGTGTCAGGTCCTAGGAGAGAGCTGAGTGAGGGGAGAGGGGCCTGAGACAAGAATCTGAGTACAAGTTGTTGATTTAGGAAGAAGTCCCAGGAAGCTCCAGTAGGGGAATGGAGGAGTGAGACAGGGAAGGGAAAGGAAACGGGGTTATCGATGACAGTTTGTCACCGTGGACAGCTGGAGCTCAACCCCACTGGAGACCTCTGGGAAACTGACCAATGCAGCTCAGAGCTGTCTCACTCCAGGGCCTGGAAGATGGGGAGATTTGTCCACCAACTCCCATCCATCACTGGCTGGGAGCTGCTCTCGCAGCATTCACTTGCGGCATTCCAGTCCAGCTCTGTACACGAGCACGGCTTGAGGACCACGGTTTTCCACTACCCTTAGAACAAGATCCAGACTCCTTGCCACAGCCCACTGTGCCTGCACGATCTGGCCCTGTCTTCCTCTTCCTCCTATTCGTTCTGCTCCAGGCTTACCTGGCTCCTCTTGGCTCTTCCAGCTTCAGACCCTTTGCACTTGCTGTTCCCACTGCCTGCAAAGCTCTTTCCCCAACTCGATTCATGCCTCCTGCCATCTCCCCTTTCATGCCTCTTGCTTTAAATGACCCCATATCAGAGGTCTTGTCTGGCCGCCACCTCAGCCATGATTCCTTTTCAGAGAATCTCATTGTGCGATGGCATATTTGATTACTTGTCGTCTCTCTTCTCCACTAGAATGTGAGCCTGAGTGGACAGAACCCATGTCTGTTTCCAGGCACTGCCACCTACCCATTCTTAATACCTGTGAGGTATTTCCAGAATGAATCAGCCGCGTTCCTCTGACATGACCTAAATGACCTCCCTGTCGCATGTCCTCTATAAACACACAGGTTCTAGTTCTAATAAAGTGGATGTGAACAAACGGGGCTTCTGTGCTGGCTCAGGGTTACCAGGCGTACAGTCATGGGCAGACGCTTCTCTGCAGAAGAGTGGGCACACGAGAGTAAAATATACAGCCGCCACTGATTAATTCAATAGTGCTCGGAGCCTTTCTAAAAAACTCTTTAATGTTCCAAAGAGTTTTTCTGCCTAACTCTTCGGAAGAGAGAGCAAAAATAAAGATAAATTGGGGGTGAGGGGGGTGGAGGGAGTGGCAACAAGGCTGCTTGCCCTCCCTTTTGTTGGAAAAAATGAAGGCAAATAAAAAATGTGAAAGAGAATAGAATAGCCCTCATTCAATAGTTCTTGTCTATTATTAGCAAACTAATTTGTGATATTGGTCCAGGAGATCAATTTTTTAAGGTGGTGAAATTCAACAGAAATTGTTATTTTTACTGTTTTCTCTTTTTTTTCCTTGGAATTCAGGTGTACCTAATTGGATTAATCATAATGGTTTGTGACATATTCTCATCATTGGTCGTGTATGATCTGCTCTATTTAGTAAGTTATTTTTAATAATGTAACATTAGCCACAAATTCACCACCAGACAGATTAACCACCATCATATGGGGATCATAATAACATGCATCTAACCACATGGTTCCCCCGTTCCATCCCCTCCCCCCTTACATGCAAGGTCATTGTGTCCTGAGTCCTGTGTTCAACTTTCCTTTTTATATCTCTTATTAGATGTGAGAGTTTCTAATACCAAAACTTCAAAATTGGCTTGGACTTGGAAAAATGTTAGGTGCTAAAGCCATCTGACTTTCAGAAATTCAACCAAGGTAAACCAGTTCCCGTGATACGCTTGCTTTCAATTCAGGAATCTCAAGTGTGAAATTATATCACAAATATGTACACAGAGAATCTTAAATAAAACAGTATAGGCAACCCATCCATCAGGAATAAAGAATATGTGTCAGAAATATCCAAACTTAGCTAATGGTCTAGGTGTCTCAGGTGCCCATCTACTCTGAAAAAAAAAAAAAAAAGACCAAAAAACACACTGAAGTGAGTCTGAACCCATCAGGAAACCAACAAAAATGGACCAAGAGGATCTAAGCCTCATTTAACTGGCAATTCATCGTACCCACAATGTCTCACCATGGCTCCTAAGAAAAAGGTATTCTGATGACCATCGGGACACATGAAATACTTGGAAACAGCTGAAAACTGCACCTCGTCTACAATAGAATCTTTTATAACATGCTTGACAGGGGCGAGAGAGCCTGATCCCATTAGTGACAAGAGGATTCCACTTTGAGACCAAGGCTCCCTGACAACTAGGCTATTTCAGGGAACTCAATTATTGGTAAGGACATATAACTGGAGCCGATGAACAAGAGATAGTTCCTTTTATCTCAGAGTTGTTAAAGGATTAAATGGAATAATGTAGGTGGGAACGGGCTCTGTAAATTACACGTATAAAGTTGTAAAATGAGCTATGAACACTCGGCAGGTTAGCCCCATATCCTAATTATCTTGTATCTCCAGAACATGACCAAATGCCTAGTACCTAGTACACTTTCAATAAATGTCTGAAGAATGAACTAATTCAAAACTCTTTTGCTAAAGAATACAGATTTTCCCCCCTAAGTGGCCTTTCTTAACCAGATACATCGATAAGAATGAAACATACAACTCAGTGGGAAAATGAGCTAAGAATAAACAGTATTTTTATTTGAAAAGATGTTTAAGCATCTGAAAAACTGTTCAAACGTACTTATAATAAAAATGTAAATTAATACAATGAGATTTTTTTTTTTTTTTAACCATCAGAATGGCCACAATCTAGAAGTTTGAAAAGACTACGCTGGCTAATGTATTGGGAAATAGCCTTTCTTAGGCGTGTCGATGTACATTAACATATTTAGCATGGCCCACTCAAAATTTGAACCGGACACATACTTTGACACAATTCCATTTCAAGGACCTTATCCTACAGATACTCTCTCACAAGCATCCCTAGAACCATCACATACTAAGCCCTTTATTAGTATTTGTTAAATGTATTTGTACAAATACATAAATATTAAGATATTTTTTGAAGCACTATCACTCATAGTGAAAAGACTATAAAAATCCTAAATGTCCTTCAGCAAGAGAACAGATTTAAAAAATGATAGGGCTTGTACATCGTGACATTCTGAATGCTGGTTAAAAAGAATGAGGCTGATCTGCATGAACTGAGAGCAAATGGAACCATAGCCAATATAGACTACTTTTCTAAAAAACGGAGTATAGCAACAGTGTAAGTGTCATTTGTATGAAAAAGGCATATGTACAAATATGCGTGTATGAGAACATAATAAAACTGGGTATAGAGGTTGTCTCTGGTGAGGAAACTGAAGAAATGGGGATTAGAAGTGAAAAGGAAGACCTGTGCGTCTGTATACACTATTTTTGTTATGTTTTTAAACTTTTAATTTTCAAATAATTCTAGAGTTGCAAAAAATAGTAGAGTTCCTGTTTGCCCTTCACCCAGTTTCTCTTATATCTATGGTGAACTTATTAAAACTAAGAAATTAACATTAGTACAATACTCTAAACCACAGACTTTGTTCGGATTGCCCCCATTTTTCCACTAATATCCTTTTTCTGTTCCAGGATTTAATCCAGATACCACATTGCATTTCGTGTATATACTTTCAAGCTATAGGATTTTACCATAAGTATGAATTACTTTTTAAAACCAAGCATATTTTAAAACTAAATGAATAATCATAATGTTCATATGATGTTGATGCTTCAAAGGCATATTTTTCTTTTTAAAATTAGAAGTAAATGTTTAAAAAGATACAAATCTTTTTCAGATAATCATTATGGATCATCTTTCACGTTTTTTTTAAACTTAATCTATTTACCACACTTTTTCTTGCTGTTATTAGAGATTAATTTATGAGTGTAATTCAGCCTAAAACACCGGAGGTGCAAATTTCCAAAAGAATCATTTGTAAACTCTCATTCTCATCA